TGGCAATAAATCAACAATTCATAACAAATAGTTAAAGAGGTAAACTTGGCAGGAAAAGCCATTCTCTGTCCCTGAACAAGAACATTTTTGTTCATTCGTGGTCTTTGGTTATTTTTTCGTAGACTTATATTGTTGTTCTTACAAGATTGTTTTTGGGGGGACTTTTCTTAATCTTTGTCAGGACTTAGAACTTGTTTTTAGTTATTTTTTATGTCCATGGAAGGAAAAGACATTTGAAGGAACCTTTGAAATCGGACAGTCTAGTTGCAAAAAGTACACAACCAGTAGCCACACAGCTGCTGAGTGAGCCAATGATTGCAAAGCATGAATAAAAAGTTCATGCTAATTGGCTAATGCAATCACTGGCTTGTAAAAGGCTAAAATGCGTTTCCAGTGAAAAACTCTGTATTATGGAGTAGCTCTGTTACAAATGAACCTCCTGTGCAGATCATAGACCACAGAGTGACTGATTGTCATATCCCATAATATGCCAATAATGTTACTAATGGCTGTATCTGATAACAAAAGCCTTCGTCATACAGTAGAGCAATTGGCCACAAAAGAAGAATGTGAAGATACCTGCAGATGTTCTTGGTTTCTGTTTGGTCACACTGAAAGGTGCTGCTGTTTGTTGTCGGATATGAAGACCACAAGAGACAGAAAGAGGTTGGTTCTCAGCACCAGTGAGTAAATGAGGCCCAGTGGGAGGACGACACTGTCACGTCATCTTCAGATCGGAGAGTTCACAGTCTAATACTCATACATGGTTACTCTGTGCCAGTCAAACATCGTCTATGTCAAGTTAACACAACGATATCTGCTGGGAATACAGGAATAGCACTTACTCCACACAAGAGGGAGGGGTTTCATCACTCTGTGAGACAGCTGAATGTTGCCATAGAAATTCCAAAGTGTACTATAGGTGTTATACAAACAACACGTTTGTCACAGCATCCTCCCAGGCGGCAGTTAACAAACTATTAATTACATGATTTCCTTCCTTCCGACACCTTAAAACAGGCTACTGGTAAGAACTATGTTATGAGAGCAAAGTTGCAGGTGAGCTATTTTTATGGTATAGAGAGATGAAGAGGAAACTTTCATTAGGTGTTCAATACAATGTGCCCTGTTTATTCTTCTTCTTCAGGGTCAAAAGTGCACGTGATAGCATTTGAAATCCTTTCATATATGACAAATATATGAAAAATACAAGTGCAACAAGGAAAATTATTTTTTTGGCTCAAGGAAAAAGGTAGTTTTTCCATTTGAGTGGAGAAAATGAATAAACTGGTTCACTGCATGAATTTTATTGCCACTGTAAGATCATCATGATATAAGTACCACCAAAAGAATGTTCTCGTCATTCAAACACTTTATTGTCAAAGGCAAAGACTGCAAGCAATCCTGTGAGCTGCTTCAACTTCTTCTAATGTGTAATGCTGCTACAACTTCCTGCAATTGGTCCAAAAGTCCAAACCCTCCCCCAAAAAATGTCGCACTGCAAATGTCCCTAAACGGTTTGTTTGATCCAGTCGAGCCCCCCTCAGACCGAGACCCCCTCAGACCAAATTTTGGTCCACTGTCGTGCTCTGAGTCACCATTCACACCTGTTAAACTGAAAAGTCTGAAGGTCTGGGAAACAAATAAGGCAGATGTGACAGCTCCCTAAAACATGTCTGTTAGGAATCATGACAGCTCTCAAAATATTTCCTCTCAATGCTCTGCAACCTAAAATGCAACTGATCGCATAAATCAAAGTTGGAAACCTGGAATCTGGTGGTTCTTCTCAATAAAGCTCAGTTTTGATCTTTAGCACGTCGTTAAGAGTGATGAATGATTCTGCTGCACAGAGGATTAGTCCCGTAGAGTCACATCCCACTAATGTGCAACACTCATGACTGTTCCAGCACGGTGTGAAACGCAGCATGGTGTATTTAGGCGACTCGAGTATTTCTAGCTCAGTTCTTCTTACGTTATGAGGAGCTGAAGCCTGAGGTGTGATGTGTCTGACTTCTTTATTCAGCGCTTCAATATAAATCTGAGAGTAGTATGAGGTTTTTAAGGGTATCACCTCCTCCATGCAGAAGGTGGGGAATGTTAAAGTGCCAAAGAGGATGGGTGTTAAAGCACATGATGGATTTTTCTTCGTTCTGACTCATACTGTGTTTGCTGAATAAATACGTAACAACAACGCCGGAAGGATTTTCTGCTTAAGTGCTTAAGGTGCTTTATACACCTGGACAGAGACTCTGTGGGGTCACGTCACAGCCAGTGATTCCTCATAAATACACTAATATTGTATTTTGTTCTTAGAGTACCTTTGTGTTACATGAACACCCACTTAACAAGGATTATTAGAAATAACAACAGAATGGAAAAGGACACAAAACAATCTTAATGTTAAAGCTAAAAATAAAGGAGTGGAGAAAGTTAAGTAAGAAATATATTAATAATCTCATCTCCAAGACAACAGGCTCTGCAGCTCGCCCACACAGGCTATAACGGGCCAATACCTCGTGTGACTCTGTCTCTTTGAACACATGCCACTAACACCTTTATGCACTACACGTCTGAGGGAGAGAAAACAAATGTTGGCCTGATCTGTACAGTATGAGTATGACTGAACAGTCATCAGTGTCATTACCATTGATTCGCTTCTGAAAGAATCTCTAACATCATCGATTTTTAACATGATTGAAAGACAGACGTAATTAGTGTGTGATGGTGTTAGAAATCTTGGAAATAGGTTTGAGTTGAACTGTTATCTATCCATAGATAAAAAATACATTAAAATAATAATTAGTATAATAAAAAAATCCACATAAGTTAAATACAGAACTCTTGTCTTATTAATAAAACTTTGACCACTGTATGGGTGAACTGATCAATGGCTCAAACACCAAAACCAATCAGCTTGTTAAAACTCAGGAGGTAAAGAACATACAAACCAGAGATGTACAGTTTATCAACATTAGAGCGGGACCAAACAAATCAGCTGGTGGATGTACTGGCTTAAAGAGTAGAGGAATCGAGTACAGCAGAGGGTGGTGACAAGTAGATTTTTCAACTGTACAACAGGATGTCTGAAGGCAGCTTATGTGTCTCCGTCAGCCTGTCAAAAAAAGGTATCACAGAAGTTATCCATATTCACTGATTTCCCAAGGAGTTATTCATGGATCTGATCTTTCATGGATTCATGAAAAAATTCAGTCAGTCAGCAACTGATATTTTTATA